CACACGAATACACACAGACACACAGACAGACACACAAATACACACATACACACACAGACAGACACACACAAATACACACAGACACACGTACACACAGGCACACACAGACACACACGAATACACACAGACACACACACAGACACACACACACGAATACACACACACAGACACACACACACGAATACACACAGGCACACAGACAGACACACAAATACACACATACACACACAGACAGACACACACGAATACACACAGACACACATACACACAGGCACACACAGACACACACGAATACACACAGATACACATACACACAGACACACACAGACACACACGAATACACACAGACAGACACACACGTACACACAGACACACACACAGGCACACACACACGAATACACACAGACACACACAGGCACACACACGCACACGAATACACACAGACACACAGGCACACACACACACACACGAATACACACAGACAGACATACACACACAGGCACACACACATACACACGAATACGCACATACACACACACACGAATACACACAGACACACACACACACACGAATACACACACACACACAGGCACACACACACACACAGACACACACACGAATACACACAGACACACACATACACACAGGCACACACACACGAATACACACATACACACAGGCACACACACACACGAATACACACACCCTGTAACCCGGACTCGCTCATATCTCTGCGTGACACGCGCAATAATACACGCGGCACGCGCGCACATAACTCACACACTCAGACAAAGGTGCCCCGTGTAGCCTCTGACGGACTGTCGGGGCAAGTGCTGTGAGTGAGTAGCGCTGATGAAGGGACACGAGGGGGGGGGGGGGTGGGTGGCCAGCACCCCACACCCGGCCGCCTTTGTCTCCCCCGTGGTGATGTTTACTACACCCGCACCAGGTACTCATTTGAGGCTGAGTCGACCTAGGGGGAGGCCCAGGACCGGTTCAGATTAATGGGTGTTGGCCGTGAGCGGGAATCGAACTCGGGTCGCCGGGTTCGTAGCGCAGCGTAGCGATAACCGCTGCACCACCGCTCCCCACACACGTGACCACATACACACACACACATACTGACACACACACACTGGCACAGACACGGACACACACACAGACACACACACACATACTGACACACACACACTGGCACAGACACGGACACACACACACACCGACACACATACACACCCTGACACACACACCGACATTCACACACCGACACACACACACACTGGCACACTGACACATACTGAAACACACACACTGACACACTGGCACACTGACACACACACCGACACACACACACTGACACACACACTGACACACACCGACACACACACTGACACACACCAACACATACACACACACTGACACACCGACAGACACACACACACCGACACACACACTGACACACCCGACACACACACACTGACACCACACTGACACACACACACACACTGACACACACACACGGACACACACTGAAACACACACACCGACACACTGACACACACACTGACACACACACACACTGACACACACACACACACCGACACACACACACACTGACACACACACACACCGACACACACACACACCGACACACACACTGACACACGACACACACACACTGACACACACTGACACACACACACAGACACTGACACACACACACACACACACTGACACACACTGACACACACACACACTGACACACACACACACACTGACACACACACACTGACACACACACACCGACACACACACACACTGACACACACACACCGACACACACACACACTGACACACACTGACACACTGAACACACACACACACTGACACACTGACACACACACTGACACACTGACACACACACCGACACACTGACACACCACACCGACACACTGACACACACACTGACACACACACACTGACACACACACACTGACACACACTGACACACACACACACTGACACACAAACACACCACCTACACACACCACACCGACACACACTGACACACACGACACACACACACACTGACACACTGACACACACACCGACATACACACACTGACACACTGACACACACACTGACACACTGACACACACACCGACACACTGACACACACACCGACACACTGACACACACACTGACACACACACACTGACACACACACACTGACACACACACACTGACACACACACACTGACACACACACACACCGACACACACACACACCTACACACACACACACTGACACACACACACTGACACACACACTGACACACTGACACACACACACACTGACACACACACACACACACACTGACACACTGACACACACACACACACCGCGTGTAGACGCGTCCGTTCCACTAATTGAGGCTAAATCACACCGGCTCCACACGCACGGTTTGGGGGGGGCAGGGGGAGATGGGTTTGGGGGGGGCAGGGGGAGATGGGTTTGGGGGGGGCAGGGGGAGATGGGTTTGGGGGGGGCAGGGGGAGATGGGTTTGAGGCCGTGCCCCGCTGGACGAGGCGACTTTAATTAGAATCGACTCGCGAGGCGTCACGCCGCGGAGGAGGAGATGGGGGGGTGGCAGTCCCTCCATCTGAGACAAAGATAAAGGTCCCCCGTGTAGCCTCAGCAGACTGCTGGGGCAAGTGCTGTTAGTAGCGAGAAGCAGCACCTTCTGAAAAAATCCCCCCCCCCCACCCCCGTTATCTTCTTGGTTCTTTCGGTAAAGTCACGTGGAAGAGGAAATAATAAAATAATTGAAAATTAATATTATAAAAAACAATTCTCACGACGTTCGGCCACAACGCAAGCAGCCGTCCTCAGGTGAAGAACAGGGCTGTCAGACTCTGTCTTCTCGACAGACTATTCTCCACCTGAGGACGGCTGCTTGCGTTGTGGCCGAAACGTCGTGAGAATTATTTTATTATGTTTTATTTTTATTATTTTATTATTTCCTTTCTACGTGACTTTACCGAAAGAACCAAGAAGATGAATCCCTGCAGTCACGAAAGCTTTAAAACGAAACTCCCCCGTATAGCCCGAACAGACTGTAGGGGCAAGTGCTGTTAGCGAGCACCACCTATGAAGGCCGGCACTGTGGCACACGAGGGGTGGGTGGCCAGCACCACGCCCGGCCGCCTTTGTCTCCCCAGTGGCGATGGTGACTACTGCACACCGCGCTAGGTACAATGCTCATTTCAGGCTAAGTCGACCTCCATTCCTCCCGTCAGCCATGCTTTACTGGGCATTTATCATTCTGCATTTAGTCACCCACTCACCACCCACTCACTCACTCACCCACTCACTCACCCACTCACCCACTCAACCACTCAATTATTCACCCACTCACTCACCCACTAACTCACCCACTCACTCACCCACTAACTCGCCCACTCGCTCACCCACTAACTCACCCACTCGCTCACCCACTTACCACCCACTCACTAACTTACTCACCCACTCACTCACTCATC